ACAAAATGACACCAGACTTTTTTCCTGAAAAAAACAAACCTGCATAAATGAGAAATAACTTTGTTCACCGACGAGGAACCGACGAGGCACCGACGAGGCACCGACGAGAGGAGGCACCGACGAGAGGCACCGACGAGAGCACCGACGAGAGATTACAGGAGGCACCGACGAGAGAACAATTACGGAAATTAGATTGTCTAAAAGATTTAGATCTTTTTGAGACAATGTGCAAAGTTCTAAACATTCCGATGGAAGTGAAGAAGATATGGGCAAGAAAACGATTGATGCCATGGTTCAGAGCTAACATGACTGCATGGTTGTACGAGTATGCGAAAAAGCATATGTCGAAGCATGGCAGAGTATACAGTGAATATCAGCTGGACATTGGGGCAGGAGCTTTCAAGCGAGCTTTCGTGACCCATCGGAATGCAGTGACCACCGCTGTGAAAAGAATTTCCAGGACGAGCGAGCGTAGTGGAAATGAGAAGGCAGAGATGCTGAAAGAAGATTTGGAGAGAAACGTGACGTTGTGTCTCCACAACAGCTTCTGTAGAAACAGAGAATCAAACGTGGATCCCCTACCTTGCTGTAAACAGAGGGTGGAAGAGCAGAAGTGTTGGAGGACGGCTTCCAACAGCGTCAGGATAGTCAATGACGTGCTACAAGACACGGAAACCGAAAGTGCGGAGTCAGTGTCACAGGAGGAGGAAATGGAGCATTGACGAATGGTCGAGAAAACAAGAGGCAGCAAGAAAGAAAATTAGAAGAATTTAGAAGTTTTAGAACTTCTAAACGACGAAAAAAGAAGAGAACAAAGGGATGATGAAGAAAAGTCAAAACTCAGAATTGTTTTGTGTGTGTGAAAAACTCAAGTGAGAAACCAAGCAACCAAGTTGTAATTGAAAACTGAAACATTTTGTTGAGTTTTGAAATTGTTGCATTTATAAATTTGCATTTTGATTTTAGCAGAAGTGGCTTTAGAGACACTCATTATTTATTTAGAAAGGCTTAAGGGAAGAGTATATTTAAATATTCCAGCCTGCATGATTGTTTTTAATCACTTAGGAAGATTGATCACTTTGTGGTGACGTGGAAGGCTTGAGTAATCTCTCGAAGAGGGAGATTGTTTCATTGTTCTTTCTAACCACAAAGTTTCTTAGTTTTAATATTCAGGACAATAACAAACAAGATTTCCGAAGGGAAGAAGCATAGTAGGGTGATTTTAGCTTGTTGGTTGGCAGGACTGTCCTGCAAGCCAACGCCTTTTAAATCTAGGAGAAAAAGTTCTAATCGGGACATTGACACTGGAAGTCAGAAAAAATGTTTTATCTTAAGTCATATCCTCAATGTGCAGATTAATGAAAGAATTTCAAGGCTATAGTGATGTAGTATGATGCCATTTATATTCTGCAGTGAGTCGATGTGACGTGGATAAAAGTAATTTCGTGCATTTTGTAAATTCTGTTCGATGACACTGTAACCATTTTACGAATATTGCGCGATTCAATGAGGACATTGACCGGACTGTCCGGGGAGTATGTGACATTCGACCAGAATGGCCAAAATGCAATCTCTGCAGACTTCGAAATTTTAGCAGTGAACCTTCCGAGTTAATGATTTTGAAGGATTAACGACGTTATTCGGATGATTAGCAGAACGGTGAAGGTCAGGATATTCCCGTATTTTAAAATTTTAAATTTTCGAAGTGATGACGTAACATTTCTGAGAAATGCTGAAACGGCCATTTTTAACAAAAAACGAGAGAAGAAACAACAACAACAATAGTTGCGCGGACGAGAACAACTTTATCGAAATTGAAGAAGTCGAAATTGAAGAAAAACAGCAGCAGATTGCAGAGAACGTTCCGAGTTGCAACTATTGTGCTGCTACAATAGTTGCAAGGCCGTTGCGAACAACGGTGAAGGGTAAGAAACCAGCCTTCCGTGTTGTCGTGAAATCGAACTTAAGGAGCTTGATTCACCGGATTCAAGAATCCGGAAGGGTCTCGGGACGGAAAACTTTTATTGACTCATATGAACTTTTAGCATCCTGTCATGTCCTGACTTGAATTTAATTGATATTTGGATTCGTTTTGACAAGGATGAGGTGCTAAGAGTTGGGGGGAAAGGGTTGATCCATCTTCGATGGAGATGATGATTTTTATCTACTGAACAAAAACAATAGTAATATAATAAGTAGTAGCCCTGTTTTTAGGAGTGACCTCGTGGTCTGGGGATACTGAGACCCAGCCATGAGCTCACTATTTTTGCATGTAATTCAGTTAATTTGAGCGTTCTGGTCGAAGCCGGAGAACAGTAACGTTTTTGTCGACCCGATGTTAGAAAAGACCACCGAAAAGTACTGGCTTGGTAGAGACGGTGAAAAACATGCAAAGCTCTGTTTAGACGCTAGCCAGTCGTCTTAAGACTTAGTTTTGTTATCCGTCGATATATATCTTCCGGGCGAATGTTACAGGAGGGTATCCAACCCTTCACCAAAACACACAATCTTTCTATCAGAAACGATATAAATCGATCTGAAACAACAACAAATAGGAAGGTCAGATCACATCTCGTCCGGAAATAACATATAAACTGTTACTTTATGTTTTTTTACTGTTTTTTGGTCTTTTTTGAATTTTTTTGCTGTTTTTTGTACTTTTTTGTTTTTAAATAAATTTATTTTTTGGCTTTTTCTTGGTTATACACTATTTTTGTTTGGTTTTACGCTTTCTCTTTAATTGTTTTTGGTCCTGGGACCTCAGGACAAGCGGGCTCTAGATTTCCCACCTAACCCTCCGGCCCCCGGAATTTTTGGCGTTAACTAAGTTAAAAAGCTAAATTGCACTAGACGGAGGGTACGCACCTTCCCCCTAGAACAATAACGGTCATTAAGGCCTCTAACTCGGGCATACGCCCGGAGCGGAGGGTACGTCGCTGAAACGCTTGCTGATCATGATGGTTTCATGCCTTTAACAGGCCCACCCAGGAGCGCCATAAAAACGTCTATGTAACATTCGCCCAAATATCACACAGCGACGGAGCGTAGAAAAAGTACCTGTTAACGACTGGCAGGCGTCAGTTACCTTAATTCTACTCGTTTTTCACCGTGTCGACCTTGCCAGTTGATTTTCTGGTCTGTCTAGGGCAAAGTAAAAAGTTACCATTTTTAGGCCATCAGTCAAACGACTTTTGATCAGCTTTCGTTTACATGCGAACACAACCACATAGCTGAGTCTCGGATCCTCAGACTACGTGATTGTCATTAAAAACACGGCTCGAAAAACCTATTTTTATATGTTTTTGTGTGACAGTTTTATATTAAATCCATTGGAGATGGATTGACCCTTTCCCTTTCTTAGCTACTCATGCTCTGAAATTTTGAATAATAACGGTGTTAATTAAGATCTATGACATTATAGCAGCTATATAGTCAGTCTACACAGTCCCTTTACATAGACAGTCTCTGGGGGACCAAGCCTCCGCTCCCGTAATATTCTTGAGATAACACTCTTATCTCTTATAATTCGTGTCCAGGGAGGGTTCCGTGGTATATTTCTTCCCCCACTGAAGCCTCCTTCTCCACAAATATACGTCGCTAAGGTTCTTATCGTGTGTTATTGCCACGATAAGAGGCTTCGTAATTTTCTTGTCTCTGATACGACTGTTCTTCACAATCTATGGCGTCGTTCTGTTTTTCGTCTTTTTATTCAAAATGGCCGTCTTTTCTCTATTTCTCAGAAATGTTCTTCTTCCAATCGAAATTTTAAAAATAAAAATTCTAGAACATTCTGACCCTCCGTCGCAACACTTTTTTGTTCATAAGGCCTTTAGTCACTCTTTTTTATGTCGCCGGAAGGTTGTGCTGTGTCATCTGGCAGAATGGCACAAAATAACACCCTTATTTCCTCTCCGGAAGGCTGAATTCACGATACCACCACCCTTCACCGTGGGCGTGAATGGCCTTTTAATGATTGTAGCGACAAAAAATCGTTACAAGTCGGAGCGGTCTTTGCTAACACTCTGTTGTATTTTCTACTTTCCGTCGTAGTTTCTCTCGCAACTCTCGTTGTGGTTGTCGCAACTCTCGTTGTGGTTGTGTTGTATTTTTGGTTTTCTTCCAAAAATGGCCGTTTCGTTGTTTCTCGGAAATATGACGTCATCAATCGAAATTTTAAAAATTTAAAATACCAGAATATCCTGACCTTCACAGTTCGTCTAAACGTTCAAATAACGTCGCTAATCCTCTAAAACTGCCAATTCTCTGGGTCAGCGGCTAACCCTCTGAAACTGTCTCTTTGTCAATTCTAATCGAATGTCACAAGACGCTGGCCAGTCGTTTTAGAACCTAGCTTTATTTTCCGTCGATATGTACTTCCGGGCGAATGTTTTATTACCTTTTTCTTTTATTTACGTTAAGCAATCTCAATTGTTTCCGATAGGGGCAGGTTTGTGTACAAACTCTTAAGTCTACTGAAGAAACGCGCTCATTTTCGTCAAGTATTAGTTTTTCTCGATCGTCTAATGTGGATGTTTTAATGTTTGCGCCAGGAACTTTTTCGAAAATGGGAGTCAACAATTTATTCAGCTTGTGATAACTACTGCCAGGTATTGATAGAACCGGACGGAGTAATGTTTCTTTCTTGTGTAGTGCAGCCAAACCGTATAACCTAGCGGGCTGAGCTCTAGTAATAACGGGCCATCTAGTCTTGTGCAGTCGAGCCATCTAGTCTTGTGCAGTCGGGCCATCCATCTAGTCAGTCGGGCCATCTAGTCTTGTGCAGTTTATTACGTTTTTGCCTTCCCAATTCTGGTGCTCCTTTGTTCCTTTGCTGTTAGTGCATTCCCCCTCTCTTTTAAATCCTCAATGGTTCATCCCACATTTGTTTGTTTTGTATTCGGTGTTTGTTGTGTATTTAAAATTATATATATTAGTTTTAATAACTTTTATCACTTATGAGTTCTTGTATTTTTGATTGTATATTGATTGTTTTTAAAGTTTGTTATGGGTTCTAAAATCGAAGAGTTTATCCGCGCTGGTGTGAGCTGGGTTGCACTTCCAGAAGATTTGCAGTCAAGTCTCAGCAACTCAGAACTGGAATACAGCAAACTTGTCAAACAGTTTTCTACAAGATGTCAGCTTAGATATCGAGACCACTTGATTAACAGTGTGTACAAAGACGAAAGACAATATTATAAACAAATGATAGACTATTGCATCGACAATTTGATGGTTTTTCCGTATCACTTATCAGATATATTCCACACGTTACATACTTCTCCCTTCGTGTATTACACCAGCATGGTTAGATCACTTATGAAAGCAGATAAAAGTTATGACTCACTTCCAAATTTCACCGCAGTCGATTGCCTGAGAGTTCTTGGCATTGGGCGAAACCAGTACATTGACCTGATGAACCAGTCTAGACTCCAGAAAAATTCCAGTTTGCAGAAGTTTTTCAAAAAGAAAGCAATATCGGATTTGTTGCCGAAAGAACCAATTAAGATCAAGATTGAAAACTGGTGGAGAGTACGGCTAGCCACAGTAACTGAAACAGACGTACTTCGTTCAACGCCAGAGGAGAAAGAGTTAATTGACTTTTTAGTAGCAAACAAACGTCACTTGGCTGGAAAACTAGACTTGAGATTACTAAGGAATCTTTATTCTCATGGAATGATCTTTTTCGATGTTCCTATTACTGAAATTGATACTGTATCTCTTCCTCCCTTAGACAATTTTGTTATGAATCGAACATCAGGAGATGAAATTGAATTACTGCTCTACAAGTTGTTCCAAGTTCTGGACGAAACTATGACTATGAAAGAGCTCGCAACTATGCTTGATCTAGACGTTAAAACGGTTCTAATGACAGTTTCTTTGATGTGTAGGGCTTGGTTTTTGCCACAAGAGGAAAAGCGAAATGGATCAATCAGAGCTACATGAATCTTGGTTGACAGTTGAAAATGGCACGAAAGAGCATAATGCGCCGGCACCGTTTCCGGTTAAAAATGTTATTGATTTCATAGACATGGACGAGCTCTCCGATGATTTACTCGAAAACTCGCCAATAATCGCTAAGAGCGTATCGACGTCACAATTTTCCTTGACATCTAAAAGTGAAGGTCAACCGCTTGTGAAGGAACTGGAACTTTCAGGAGGCGAGAGCTCTTCCAGATGCAAGATTGCATTTTTATTTGATTCCACTCTCACAGCATTCCTGATGATGGGAAATTTGACTCCCGGTTTGAAGACCCATGCAGTGACCATGTTCGAAGTAGGAAAGTTATCAGACGAGTCTATGGACAGTTTCATTAGTGAGCTTGAAAAAGTGAAGTTGGACATAGACGAACAAGAAGGCGAGGCTCAAAGGTACTTCGATCACGCCCAGATACTTCACAGAACTCTTAAGCTTTTGAGATACAACGATAAAATTGCATTCGGTGAAGAGATGAACTCTCCAGGAATTGACTTACTGCGGTGTGAAAGTCTACTTAACCTTGAGTTTGATATTTGCCAAAGGCTAATGCAGAAGAACTACCAAGCTCTAATTTCAATGGCACCTCTTTCCCAAGAAGTCTCACCAGTTAGCTGTTTGGACCCTTATCATGTGGGACCATTCATACCGGAAATGAATTCACCCTGGTTCAAACTGTTTCTATACAGAACGCTGGGCCGAGGACCTCCCTCGATGCTTCTTTGCAAAGGGTTCCGACTCCGACAAATCCCAGTGATGTTCCTGGAATATGAGAAACTCCTTGTGACTTGCTGGGGCCATGATTCTAGTCTAGTTTCAACATGCAGTTGTCTTATTATGCTGAATGACGCTCTCTGTAATATGCCAGTTTTGGTTCAAGGTTACTCACGGTACAGCGAAAGCGAACTTTGTACTAAATACGTCCCGTTTCCTCTTGATCAAGATAGTCTAGAAGCTCATAAAGGTCTTGTAGCGTCGTTAGAGAATCATTTGGATGTTACCAATGGGTTTGGGTTTTTAACTCTCGCCAAGACTCCTAAATCAAAAGTTATAGAAAACATTCCTCAATCTGAGCCAAACGAAACTCCCGAAAATTCAGCTTCACCTGAAATCGAGGAACTGACTCCAAAACAGGTGCAATATCTATTGGATTGCTCTTCAATCAGTGCTATGAATCAGGATGAGGAATGCAAAGACGAACACTATGAGTGGTCCGTGTTTGATGTCGATTGCGGGCTGCCCTTGTTCGACGAAGCTTTGAACTCTTACGTCTGTGATATACTTACAAATTCTGGTATATTCTCACAAGAACACCAGCAGAAGTTTTTGCAGTCAAATCTGACGTTATCGATGCAGTTGTTGAAATTTATAAAGGCATGTTGCGAAAACGACTTAAAAAGTGAAGAGATGGATGTGAGAGCGTACATTAGAAAACGGGCTCCGCTCCAAATGCCAACCTGTAATGTTTTGTACAGTAGAAACTCGAAAGAGGTTAAATTGTGGAAGTTTTAAAGTGTTAATAAGTTAAAGTGTAAACCATATCAAATAAAGTTCATTCCTGGTGATTGCTAGTTATTGTTGTATTTATTTAAAATGTACAAAAATAAATAAATCATTTGTGAAAACAAGAAATTATATGCCTGAATTAAATTTTTGACAATCAGATCTTGAACCAAATTTTGTAAATGTGCGCTTAGTAAAGTGAAAAATCATTGTTTACATGTAGGAATCATTATTTTCATGTATATATTTCCAGTTAGAGATGGCTTTTCAACAATTAATAGCATTTGCACAGCAGAACAAAATAGACTGTTTTATATTTCTGGCACGTCTTTACACGATGGTTTCCTGTGTTCTTTTTGTGGTCCCTTTTTACGGAATAGACAGTCAACCTGTATTCTACCAACGGGTGTTGTTAAGCAATGCGTTGTCATGCGCACTGCGGTTGCATCAACGCATGCCTGTTGTCGCCCTCAACCTGGAGTTTTTGTCACGTGTACTTCTAGAAGATTCCGCACATTACATCATCTACTCTTTGATCTTTATCGCATCTTCATCACCAGTGACCTTAGTAGTGATCCCTCTGTTCCTTCTGGCTCTTTTCAACATCTCCTTTTTCATCCAGAGGAATATTGGCAATGCGATTGGTGTGGCTCTTCTGAACTCACTGGTCTCGAAGGTGACATCGAATAGTCAGTCTATCTTGAGGTTTATTGCTCTAAATGAAGTGCTCCTTTTTCCCGCCTTGATCATGATGATTTTCAGCGGAAAAGGCAGTATGATTACACCCTTCATATACTACAGGTATCATAAATGTCTTAATTTCTTTTCATAATACTAGTTTTCGGAAGTTTTTTTTTGAACCATCGAACATACCGAATAACAAATGAATTCATGCAAAAAATGTTTTTCTTCTTTGAATGGATATTCAGTTAACGGATTCGTCTAAATTCATCCTAAATTTTTCATCAATAATTGTTCGAGAGAGCGTAACTGAGATGTACTATTTATAGTTCATTTATTGTTCAAAAAACTGCATATTCCTGGCATTAAATTTGAACGTTGTTTCAGGTTCCTCACATTTCGCTACTGTTCCCAGCGCAACCCGTACAGTCGGATAGTGTTCCAGCAGCTGCGAATAGGCGCAGAACAGATGATCGCTAATCCCATTTGTCCTGCTTTTGTCAGGACCATAGTTCAGAAGGCCATCCTTACCATATGTCGTTGGGCTCCTCCTCAAGTACCCACTCAGCCATCTTCTCAAGCCGGAGCTGCAAGATGAGAAAGAAGCTAATGCCGGAAATGAAGTTCTAACTGATTCAGAAGGGAGGCAACCGTTGAACTTTTTCGAACTCATTTCCCATTTGTGTCTGAGTTTGATTTTTTTGATGCGTAACCGTTAATCATCTATAGAAATGTAATAGTGATTGACCCTGAATAATGCTGGTAAATGTTTTTTTTTTAATTAAAAACCAGATGGACAGTTTTTCATTGTATTTTTGAACTGTAATTTATTTATTTGTCAATAAATTGCTGTGCAACTATCCCTCTCCTCTTTTTGAGTGTCTGCTTATCTCAAATTGTATTCATTTAAATTTAATTATCATTCTGTAAAATGCAAATGAATCATATCGTGGCTTAATTGATGAATTAATTTAATGCCTGTTATGCAAACTTATGAAATGCATACTTAAGTCATTTTTTTTATAACTGATGTCAATTTACTGGCTGAGATTTTCAGACAATAATCGAGAGAAAGAACAGACATACGGACTGTTTAGACTTGCATACTTCGGATTCTTTATCTTGAGGTAGTGGTGTATAACCCTGAAAAAGTTCATAAATGAACTTATTGGTGGGCCTCAAAACACCAACATCTTCTGCATTGAAAATCGCTCGACACAAATGCTCTCGGGGTAAAATTTCTTCAAGCGTTCTGTTCTGACGGCCTCATTGGAGTAACTATTGAAACATGGATTGCAGTGTATCTGAAATTTTACCGCGTTTTGGTGAGCTTGTGACGATCCATTTGTCCTTGATGGCCTGTTACGATTTTGCCCATTTTTGACACAGCCCACAGTAGATTTTGTTCGCCCATGATACACAATATAGTGTGGTGGGCGGGATTGGGCTATTTATTTTAAACAAAGATCGGGAAAATGTTATAGGAAAGAGTGCTGATTTTTCTTTGATCAACATACCGACATAACAAAGTTTTATTATGCCTAACTAAAGTTGTAAACCAAAAAATAAGCAATCTCACCTACAAATGCTCAGACAGAATTTTGATGATAAGCATATTGGGTTCGATAAACAGATAGTGTTAAGATTTTATGGCGAAATCACTTGCAGAATTGAGGTATCAGAATTTTTTTTTTTGGGGGGGGGGGGGGGGTGCGCTCGAAGCATTCACTGTGAGAGAATAATCTTCGGTACCTGCAAACTCAGTATTTGAGCTAACTCAGTCGAATATCAGTTAACTCATCAGTGGAATTCCAAAAGGTACTCGCCACCTGTCTCCTACTTGTGCATCTGTTCCACTGTCATGTGAGTTGTGCGCAACTTCTGAATTAAATTATTGAAATTACAATGTAACGTAAGGAAAAACGAATGTGTTCCTAAGTCTTCTTTTGATGACCAAGTAGAGTTTCTGTGAATGTTTTCTACGCGAAACTGGCGTTGAACTAATTTGCGAGTGTTATTACACCTGCAAAAGCAAGTGTATTGTAATCGGGAACTAGATGTTTCTTCTGTAAACAACTTATACTATTCATACGGGCTCTATCGAGGAAAGCCTGCTCGCTGGCTCAGTTCGCTCAAAATTGAAATAAAAAATTCAAACAAATTTTCCTCGGCACAGAAAAATTTTGAAAAGATTTTAATATTGTTCTAATCACGACTGAATGAGCTTTGAAATGATAAATCACTGAACCCATTCCGATGATTTTTTGTGTTACCTGATTTCTCGTGAAAAACCTAAGAAAAATTTAAACATTGGGAGGTCGTCAAGCTATTCACGGCTTTCGAATAGCTTTATTTAAAAAAAAATACGATATTTTGATTTTAAAATAATCTTTTCAAATTATCAAAAAACATTTTCCAAATTAAATTAACAAAATTTTGATCGTCTTAAATATAATCTGCTTTCGTTTTTTGCAGAATATTTTTTGTTCAGGTTTGTCTGTTTTATTGAGATAAACAATTTAACCCGAATTTGGTCAATTCTTCTATAAAAACTTTTCTATGTTCACACTCTTGTAATCGGTAACTAGACTTTTTTCCATATATACTGTTTCTTACAACAAACTGAACTAGCTTCATTTTTGAGCCTATACAAATTCCAGGTTCCTTCCTTCTGACTTGACCTGGAGGTACCGCTGTTACTTTTGCAATCCAAGGTCGGGTGTTCGAGTCCCTGCAGGACCTTGTTTTCATTCATAAAAAATAAATTTGAACTTTTCCCAATAAATTATGAGTTGTCGGCTTTCATTTGTCCGCTAACAGATGTTTTCGCTTCTTAAGCTTTGCTCCGCTGCTAAATCAAAAATCAAATGTCTTGCTTGGCAGCATGGCAGCATGTTTGCCTGGAAATCCTGTTTAATAGAAAAAAGTATTATGAAAATGTTTGCGATTGTTTTTTTTTTGTTTTGTTTTCCTGAAACGCTTCTCATAATGTAATATACCAATTTTAAAAAGTGAATCAATGATAGGACTCCGTGTTTGCTTGTGTGCCTGCATAATCCCCTAGTAATGCTTTACTTTACCTCACTGTCTACAGCCCTCGAAAAACTTTGTTTTGAAAAAATTTGACCGATAATTTTCTATTTCTTGCGATTACTCAAACACTACCCTCCCAAATATGAAATTTTAGTTCAATAAATAAAACGAGTTATAAGAAGCTGTACTGCATAAACAGTTCTGCCCAACTTTCTTTAACAAAACGTTATGGCCCACGGTATAGTAAAGTATTTGATATTTTGACAGTTTTTTTCTACCTTATTCGACATTTCTCAAAAACTAACTTCCCATTATTTGAACTTTTGCGTTACATCGAGAATGCAATTTGCGCGAATTTTTCTGCATAAGTGACGCCTAATTTTTTACACGAAAAGCTTTGATTCTTAGAAAAATCATTTTTTTGTTTTATTGGCCTATTTTTGGAAGCTTTTTGACTTTTATCAATAAGTATCTTGCCAAATTTGATATCAAGGGTTTAATCAAAACAACAGACTGTCTGAAGGCTAGTTTTATAATGTATAAAATTTTTTCATAATTGTTCTAATCTATAAGAAATATGGTTTTCAATATGGTCAAAGTTTCGAAACGGCCGTTTTTTTTTGAATTTTCTTGATTTTTCTCAAAAATTAATCTCACAGTTCTGAGGTTCAATTAAAAAACCTGGTTTGAGGAAATTTTCTCTACTTAAGTTAGTTTGAACTACTTTCTGCAGAAAAACTCTGTGTTTCATTGAAGTTTTGACCGTTTTTTAAGAATTTTTTTTTAGTTTTCTACATAACTAACCTATCAAATCCTAGAAAAAGGGTTCAATTGCAAAAACCTGCTGAAAGTTCTCCTCTAGAAGCGTTGAATTCTTGTTTTTTTTGTAGGAAAAATGATGTCCTTGAAAAAATTACAATATCTCAAAAGTTTTCACTTTTCTCACTTATTTTAGTAAAGAAATAACTAAAGTTCTAGACAAAGTCCAGTTTTTGAGATTATCTATTCCATTTCTTGTCAGTATAACGAATTCAAAACCTATCAAACACATACCTCCAGTTTTAGTTGGGCACTTAGCTTACTTTTATCGATGCATACGAAAAAAAGATAGACTAAATTTCAAGTGAAACAAAAAAATTGGAATTCACTAGCTGCTGCGAAAGAATCGGAAAGTGATTGGTCCGAGTGTTTTGGTGGGGTGAATTTAGGTTAAGGTAAAATACAGCAATTCATTTTTTCAGTGTTTTAAAATAATTACAACGTTTCGTCTTTTCGAAATTGTTTCTGAAGAAACACTTTTTTTTCAATACATGAAAACCAATAATGAAAACCAGGTTTCATGGAAAGTTCAATTCCAATGGATAAACAAGAGGTTATTCTATGTAACTAGCACAGAAAGTTCCGGCCACATCAAAAAAAGAAACTAAAAATCTTTGACAAAAGTTTGTAAAAAAAGTACAATAGGCATAGTCGACTCCAGGCATAGTTTCAAAAAACGAATAAACATCAAAAAAATTTAAAAAAAAGTCTTGTCTTTTTTTTCAATCAGAAAAGGTTTTCGAATTGAAAATATTGTATTAAAAAATTTATTTATTTTTTGAGTTGATTTTTTTATTTTAAATTTGTTAAGCTCAATTCTAACTTTTTCAAAGAAAACTGGGAAATAGTCAAGTGTATCATATTAGCGCTTTTTTAGCCGTTGTTGCGGAAAATCTCAGTTTCGAAAAAAATGTCAGTTTTTTAGACTAATTCACATATAGTTTTTCAATGTTAGTAACCCACAATTATTTTGTGATGGAGATATTGCGATAATTTCGCTATTAATAACTTCTAATTTTGTAAACTATAGCTTAAAACAAACATCGATGGCTATTTACAAAAAAGAGAAAAAATGTGAATAAATTTCTTCATTCTTTTTATGGTTTTTTGATACGTTAAATTTTATTCTATTTGGTCAGAATTAATTGCAAAGAAATTGGCAAACTCTGTTTTCTTGAGACACTTCTCGATATTTGAACAAGTCTGAGAGAATTGAAATTGAATGACAAAATTAAATTTACCACCATGAAATTGAGTGAGTCTTCGGGAAAATGTTTTTCAGACCACTCAGTATGGGTTTTTTTCGTTTTTGACTGCATCAAATAAAAGTTGAAAGGGGGCCAAATTGTATCATTCCAAGGCTTTTTTATTCTGCATTCAGAGTTAAATTAAACTTTCAAGATGCCGCCCCCATGACAAGAAAAATTGGTCTGAATTTTAAATGTTGGACTCAAAATCAGACAAAAATGATCAGAATGAGTTTGATGTCTTTTATCGACCCGAACTCTGTAGTGAAATTTACTGCAGTGCTGATGTGTTTCAGTACCTACTGCGTACTTTTTTGCCAGCAAGTAAAAAAGTCCAAAATATCAAGAAAACCTCAAAAGTAGTATAATAAAATATTTACTCTTTTCGAATTACACATCTGTTTTTTTTGTAACTGGTGAAAAAATAATCACATGTTACAAAAAATGTTTAGGAGCAACTTGAAAAAGTAAAACTTTTATTATACTAATTTCAATGTTTTCTTGAAAAGTTTTTGATTTTACCTACTTACTTGATTGTGGTAAGAACGTTCCGTGTTGTTTGCAAATAGTCTATATCTTAGCACAAAAGCGAGCGAGCAGGCTTACAATTGATAAACAATAAGGCGATGATTTTTGTAAGCGTCGAAAACTTAGTTGTTCTCCAGTAAAATGAATTTTTTGCTTTCTTAAAATTTTTTTGGTTATTTAAACTTTTAAGGAAAACAGTTTTCAATTTTGCTTAGTGTGTACAGTGCTGATTTAAATTAACCAGACAAAACGCGTTAAACTTGAAATTTAAAACGCGTTTTTCTCAAATTGGGTTGGGTTTAGGAGAAAACTCATGAAGACAAAACTTGCTTAGAATTTTAGCAGAATTAATATGGTGTAATTTGTTTTGCGAAATTCGGGTCCGAAATTTTACCCCAAAAATGGGTCATTTTGGTTTTTCTTAGTTAATCAAAAATTACGCCAAAAATACCCAGTCGATTACAGACATAATTATATCAAAGTGAGCCCCTTACGTAGCTCAACAAATTTTAAGGAGGGTATAATCTCCAAAAAATTGTATAAGTTAATTTATTTTTGTTTGATAGACAAAAAAGGTCATTTTTACTATATAAAATACCAACTTTTTATTTAAAAACAATTTTTAAACAATTTGCATTTTTTTTGGAGAAAATACCCTTCTTAAAGTTTGTTGAGCTACGCAAGGGGCTCACTTTGATATAATTATGTCTGTAATCGACTGGGTATTTTTGGCGTAATTTTTGATTAACTAAGAAAAACCAAAATGACCCATTTTTGGGGTAAAATTTCGGACCCGAATTTCGCAAAACAAATTACACCATATTAATTCTGCTAAAATTCTAAGCAAGTTTTGTCTTCATAAGTTTTCACCTAAAATCAACCCAATTTGAGAAAAATGCGTTTTAAATTTCAAGTTTAACGCGTTTTGTCCGGTTAATTTAAATCAGCACTGTACTACTGTTATCGATTAAGCACAAGTTCTAGACTTTTTAACTTCCCACGTTTTAAAAGTTTTTGTTCGTTTTTTTATTATTGTCGTCGAATCTTACTGTGCAATTTACACAGAAACCGGTTGACCTGGTTTTGTTTAGTTTTTCATTCTTGTTCACTTCAATTCATCTTTGCATCCAAGTTTTTGCGAATCTCCGTTTGGCTTTAAAAAAGTTTTATTACAAAATGACACCAGACTTTTTTCCTGAAAAAAACAAACCTGCATAAATGAGAAATAACTTTGTTCACAGAATGGTCAATTTTTAGGACTGGTAAACTTCACTAGTTCAATTTTTCGAAAATTCAAATAAAACTACCTCATCTAGGTAGTTAGTACGTGGACTACGTAGGTGCAGTAATTGATTTTTCAAATACATTTGAAAAAAGTTTTTTTTTGTTCGGATTTGTGGTTTTCGGCCTAGTTTCCGCTGCTTCATTTTCTGTTTTTTTTTTGAAATATCAATTATATCATGTTGTATAAGTAGTTTTTATTAGTCTACTTTGGGAAAAAAGGATTTTACTTTGATATTAAATTTTTCTACAATAAATGAAAGTTCTGTGTTTTGTCATTTTAGTCAACTTTGTTATTTTGACGTTCAAAAAATTTCTTTTCTTAAAATCTTGTTTTATTAAAATGTATGGGAATGGGTTTTTTGTTTTTACTTTTTTGGGAATCTATCAAGAACTTTTTCCTTTTTACATAAATTTTAGTTGCGTAGAAAAGTAATTTGCCGAATTTCAAAAGAGCATATCAGTGGAAAGACCACCTACTTTCCTCTGCACAATCTTCTGGTCTCTTTTTATTTTACTCTTCTATCTACAGCCTTCAAAAGTAAGATTTGATCCATATTTTTGTTTTTTTTTGTTTTCTGAAAAATCCTTTCCTAAATTTAAGATTTTGAAATCAGTGGATAAAACTGGTTCTGGAGTTTCCCCTGCTTAAATGACTACGCCTAAATTTTCCCAACAAAAATTCATGGCTTTCGGAAAAATCAAATTTTAGAATTTTTGCCTGTTTCTTGATTATTTTCGACTTTTCTCGAAACCGACCCGCCCAAATCTGAGATTTTGGGTTCCATCCAAAAAGACGATTTGTGGAAATATTTTGCTGTTCATTTATGGCTACGAACACTTTTATACAATATTAATGGCCCTCGGAAAAGTCAAGTTTTTGATTTTTGACGGTTTTTTGAATTTTTTTTGTCTTTTCTCGAAAAATACCATCACAAATTTTGGGGTTTAGCTTTCAATGGAAATAACAGATTGAGTGAGTTTCTTCTGTTCAGCGGCTTTGCACAAAAAATGTTCCACAAAAAAACGTGATTCTCAGAAAAGTCAAGTTTTTGATTAATTGACAGTTTTTTGGAAACTTTTGGCTTTTCTCGACTTTCTGCCAATTCTCAGGTTCAATTGAGAAATCCGGTTCTGCTTAAGTTTGCACGACTTTTCTTATATGAGAAAAAATTGTTGATTTCAGAAAGTCAAGCTTTTGAACTTATGACCGTTTTTCTAGAAATTTTTCTTAGATACTACCCTATCAAACATGAGATGAAAGGTTCAATCTAAAGAACCGCTTGCGATAATTTCTCCTCCAGAAGCGGCAAGTCTTGTTTTTTTTTGTAAGAACAATTTTTTGTATTTGGGAAGATTGCATTTTCTTAAAATTTTTCACTCTCCTCTCTTATTTTAGTGAAGAAAAAAACTAAGGTTTCGGGCAAAAAAGTAATTTTTTAAATCGTTTTTTGAATCCGCATTAAAATAAAAAATTCCAAAAATATCAAAAAGCTACCTCCAGCTTTAGCCGGGCCTCTAGTTACCTTTTATCGAGACGTACGAACATTTTGGTTCATCTAGTTTTTTTTTCAATTTATTTCTCTTTATTTTCATATATTTTTACTTCCAATTTGGCTTTTCAGTTTTTTATATTTGTGTGGTATCGCAAGTGGTGCTCCGTTTGGCCTCTGTTAACTTGATTTTTCCTTTAAAATGATTTTGTGCGTAGTTAAATGTGAAAAAAATAAACATGATTACTTTTATTGCATAGAAATCTATAAAGGCCTGCGCATATTAAATTGTAATTTAACCATTCAAACTGAAACTGGAAAAGCAACATATGGTGACCGTTGAGAATATTTTTTATCACTGCAAAAAGTTTCTCTACATTAGCGCAAACAACTTAGCTTCCGTATTTTTTCCATTTACTGTATTTCAAATATAGATTTGGTGTTTACTCTTGACACAAGCACTCCAAATTCTTTTTGAAAACTGTTCGGTCAGTTTTTTTGTGATTTGACCGAAAAGTTTCAAATCGAATTAACATTATTTCATCTTCGAGAAATATTATAACTATAGCTGGCTCTTGCAAAAATCGAAGTTCAGTTCAAAATTATTACATCAAACTCAAAAAGAAATTTTTTTTTAATATTAGGTTATCGCTAAAATACAATTATAGTTGAATCATAATCAGAATGCATTCATTTTCTGCTGCCCATGTCCCTATGGCTCACTTAGGTCACCACAACGAGAATCATGTCCAACTGAAACACACGAGTTATTATCATAACAAAAGCAACTCGATGCAGTATTTGGGCACTACTGATCCACCTACTCCATATAAACACATGGTAGTTTCTTATTTCAACAATTAATAATAAAATGTTAATGAAAATATCATTTTTTAGTACAGATGTGTTTTTTTGAAAATTTATTTTTGAAGTTCACTTTGAACTCATTTGATAAATGGAAGGCACGCACATTACGTTTTTCATTAACAAAGCGCCCTTCAGTTTTCCAAAATAGAGATTGGACCTTTTAGCTAAAAACAATTCAATTTTTAGAACTCAAGGCGGGACAAAAATGCGCATTGATCACGCTGAGTGACTCCAAAAAAATCTGTTGATTTATTTTAGAGGCTGGCCTGTTTGCATGCACATCAGTTACACACGCTAATTACTACGACTCTTTTTGATTTCCTGAAGTTCATTTACTTAACAAACTGTCTATTGGCTTATGTTTTTCCAACGGGTGCAGGAGCTCAAACCCCATCGTAAATATACGAACTTCAAGCCGAACGTATTTGTCAAAAAGTCATGAAATATGATTAATTTAAAAACTGTTTCAAAAAAATTTTCATTTTCAGTGGCTTTTTTTTGCAAATTATTTGCTTTCTTCATAAAATTTGAGCCTCAAATTCATGTTTAGGAATACCAAAGCATAAAACATGATTCAAGGGTTTTCGCGTGTAACATTTATGCACTTCAAAATCCAGCTGATATATGTACCTGATGCCACTCTTGAGTGATGCATTGTGGTGAGGAACGCTTAAAATGAACTAAACTTACCTAATGTTTTGAAAAGAAACAATTAACTGATAAAAACTTAGCGTGTTTGAGGTGCTCGTGAAGTTTATATGTAGACATGAAGTTCCTTCAGCACGAAGTCCCGTCGTCTGTTGTCGTAGACTTTTTTCCAGCAAATTCAATTAGCACAGTCAAATCAGTTTCGACGATCGGCCTATTAGCATGTGTGCCGATTATTTACGGCAATTAAATTTCACAGTAAAACTCTACCACTAAAATATGAGTTGGCTTGAAAAAATCAGCATTTGTAATCAAAGTTTGCAGCAACTGAAATCAAAGAAAACTAAATTTTAATAGCACGGAGAATGACAGGGATAGGGTTCTGATCCAGACATTGAACTAATTAGGCGATTGTGAGAGACAATATAAAAAACAAACCAGAAGCGAGGCACCCAATTAGAAGAAAATTTTTAGCCGAACATAGAATCACTATTTATTACAGCTGTTAGTCTTAATTTCGTTCGATTTGAAGGCAAGAAAATTGTAAAAATAATTATTCGTCTGCAGTCAATTTCGTTCAATTACCCGCCAAAATGCCCTCATTGTGTTTTTTAGCTCGTTTTAAGTTGACTGTCTAAGTTGATTGCAATAGGGGGAAAACAGTTAAAAAGATCTTTTTTTTTTTCAAACGAACTGAATGAAATCTGTACCAATTAGCTGAAAATTGTGTCGTTTTTTATATCTTAAGCAAAGTATTTAGCCACGAAGCTCTAGCAAAATTATGAAGGTCAGGTGAATATGCATATGCATCCTTCATAATGTAGCAAGTTATTTTTTGACGAGGTGTGAGGTGGTAAAAAAAGGTTTAATTGCAGGGATCACACGACAGCATTCCGAGAAGCATCAACGCAAACGCAGGTTGGAAGCTTCAACCCCAACCGTTCAGAAATCAAGAGACTCTGCCAAACTATCATACAACGCAACCTCAGAAGATGCATACAAACTCACAAATCATGGATAGAAATTCGTATGTGGATCCACATTTGAACATTAATCGATCTAGACCGCCTAGTGCAACTCATAGCGGTAAGTTTAAGACAGGCATTTATAATTTATGCCAAATTGTTGGCCGCATTATCATTTTTGGTCAACGAATTTTAACATGCAGAATAACTTAAAGCTGCTGGTTTCCCTGAGAAATCCACTTCAAACCTCTGTGCGTAAAATCTATTTAACTTAAAAATGCTCTAGGTCATAGCAATTTGGCCATAACCATAGTTCACATTATTAACTTTATTGCTGATAATCCTGTTATTAAAACCTACAGAATTTTTACGATTATTTTTCTGAGCTGGCCAATTTTTCCAATTTTTGAGCGACAAGTCTCAAAGTACCAACCTCATGATTGTGCAATGAGAATTTAGCTATCGGGAGCTCTTAATTCTGCCATTTGAAAAATATGTTTTTTTTTGTTTTTAGCTCCTAAGTGTTATTTATACTCTTTCGATTGACATTGTCGTTTTTAGAAGACTTAAGGATGACTCATAATTACAGAATGGCGGCTGCTGGAAAAATAGGACATCACAGAACACAAACCCCCTTATCAGAGCCATCGGTCAGGTCAGCTTTGAAACAAAACTGTTTTATTGCCATTTTATCTTTTATTTATTTTTTTTCGCGCTATTTGCGATGCATTGGTTCAAAACGGGCAAGAACTGTACAAAAAAGGTGATTGATTTTTAAAAAAATTTCAGGGATGTGACGCATAGCGATTGGTTATATTCTCGTATCCCAACGAGGTTTGATTCTAAGTCCCTCCCTGGAAACTTTACACCCCTCATTGTCATCGTCTCACTTCAGGGATCAACAGTTTCAACCACAGCATACAAATGGGAAGTTGAAAAATGTACCCAAGTCTTACCTATAAAGTGACATTACAAATTAGCTTAGAAGTTTCGCTTCAAAAAACTTCTATGATCTATAATTGAAAACTAACTGTTACAGAAATGAGCTAAAAACGACCCTTAACAAAAAATTATGAGCCAAAATAATATTTTTAAGGCCTAGGGTAGTTTTATCGTTGCGACCACTTCAACAGGCAAATCGGAACATCCGGAAATGGCTTAACATTAGAGAAAAATTTATGACATCAAAAAATGAATTGCAAGACTAAAGTTTTAACTTAAGTTGTACTTTCGGAAGGTCCAAATGTAAATCTCGTGATCGCTTCTGTGATCTCTTTTAAGTTCGTTATCTAAATGAAGTTCTTTCAAAGTCTTATATTGTTTTTGTTTAATTTAAAAAAAAAGCCTAGCTTACGAGAAAACTCTTAGATTGACCATTCTGTAATTAGATTGACCATTCAATTGTACTCTAAATGTCAATCAATTTTTATCTAAATGCAAATTTAATTTACCGATATTGTACCCGTACCCAACAAAATGCTTCTTATCTTGATAGATTTTTTTATTCAGATAATCTAACCTATTTTTCTGTGTTTTCTGTAGAGAAACTATTTTTTTCTCATCTAACATGAAATAAATACAATTTCTCGAGAGAGTTTTCATAATCGGTTCACTGCTCATCCGCAACGAGACAAACGTTGATTCTACATGCTTTGAGTATATTTAATAATCGTAGCAAAACAATGCAATATAACCTTTTTTTATAACAAATGTTTTTTTTTGCAAAGGACTGCTAAACTAGTAGTATCTCTCAAGTCATATGACCTAGAGTACTACACAATTGTCTAGCTAATGGAAGAACGAGTAATCATGACCCACCAGCAGGTTTTTGTTTGCTACAAACAGTCAAAAGTTAACTAACATCCAAAGAAACTTTTCAATAGATGAGAAATAAAAATTTTCAGAAAATCTCTGCTTTTTCTAACATTTCAAAAAAATCTGACCAAGTATCTAAACAAAAATATGTTTTTCTCGTCAGAATTAGATGATTTATTGTAGTTTTTTTATTAAATTGTTGTCATCCAGTTCAAAAAACGATTTTTATTCCCAGAGACTTCAATTTAAAAAGTTCAAATTGCCACGTTTTATAGGAGCTTCTTGATTTCAAAGTTGTCCCAGAGTTGACAAAACACGAGTTGCGAGAGTATAACAATTTTTTTTATCAAGTTGCAGGATAACTAATAGGACTGGCAAAAAATATAGAAAAAAATGGTCGGAAAATGTTCAATTCAGACATCGAAAGACAAAATGGGGAAAATTAAGAACAAAGAAGAACGTTTTTGTTCCGTACTTTGAAGAGAAGATGGAATATTTGTCCTAGGTGTGATTTTTTCTGCAGACAAACTTCTGCTAACTATTAGCCATTTTTGAAAGAGCTCACGTTTCTACCATCTTACAAGTTGACAACTTAGACTCAAACTGGTATTTTACTTGTCCTTTTTTTGTGAAGTTGTGGACCAGTGATCTAATGTTGTTAAAGTTTCCATCTTGGGAAAATTAGCGGCGAGAAATATTGTTCTTTAAACACGTGAGCGGTGATTTAATCCGGCTCATAAATCGTTTTATTTTATTCGAGAAAGCTAGTATAAACTTTAAATGCGAAGCTAGAGAGTAATTTGGAACGATTTTGTTGTGCGGGCTAATTTGCCTTGCATAAATAATTCGTGTTACGCCATCAGCAGTATGAATAAATTCTTCAAAGCGCGCATAATTTAGTCCTGAACATGGCCAATTGTGCAATTTTCAAACTCCAAGAACTTTCCAAAAAGTATTTGGAGGTAAATTTTTTTTTATATTTGGACTCAGGAATGGTAAAAAAAAGTTTGTCGAAAACTATCATTTCGATCGGCGAAAATTGACTGAATTAAAAAATCACATTGAGCATAAATATTCTGTTTTCTTCGAAAGTCGGAACACTAACCATAATCAGCTCACTACTCAAGCGCAACGAGATAAACGTTGATTCTACAGGCTTTGAGTATAATTAATAGTTGTAAAAAGTTCTTCTTTGCGTTAGACTGCTAAAACTAGTTGTGCTTCTCAGGTCATATGACCTACTGGTTAACACAATCGTGTAGCTAATGGGAGAACGAGGAATCAAGAACCTTCAGGAGACTTTTTTCTAGCTACCATAAGCCTAAATTTAGCTAATTTGTGTTAAAAAAATAGATGAGAAGCAAATATTTAAGAAAATCCCTGCAAATATTTAAGAAAACAAAGATTTAAGAAAATCCCTCCCTGCATTTAAGAAAATCCCTGCAAATATCTACAAAAACATGTGTATTTCGCGGCGGAAGTAAATAATTTGATGTTACGGGTAAAATTATTGAGACAATGTCTAGGCAAGTTTGTTGTATTTTTGTGCGGAGAAAAGGAGAAAGAGCCTAATTTTTTTCCCAGTATAGAACAACCATGCCTGGCTAAATCAATTGAAAAGCTTTCAGAATATGCGGATTTTACCTAATAGAGATTTTCCACAAGGGAGGTTGAAGTAATTAAAGAGATCCGACGATTTTAAAATGGCGATTCTATCTTATCAGCACTAGATCCCACACCATAAATTTTGTTGCCCGAAATTTAATAATCTCATCTCAAATTTTTTTTTGAAGAATTCACAAATTTTTATTTTTTCTTGAGTTTAGAAGAATTCACAACTCATCAGGAGAACGATTATATATGAAAGAATTTAAAAAAAAAACAGGATTTTCATTGTTTTTTGGACAAAAACATATAAAATACAATTTTAGGATCTATCATAGCGACGAAGACAGAAGAAACCGACAAATTGCGAACGATCTGCCCCACTTAACTGCAGCAGTTGCTGAAACCGAGGATGAAATAACCAAGGTCGATGTGGGAATCCAGACCGATTTCAGTCGACTCGTTACACATGAAGACAGTAACTCCAGAGATTACATAGTTGGTAGGTCTGATGTTGACAAGGGTAGGAAAAAAAACGATTATATTATTGATCCGAAGTTGGAAGAAAGTTGAGGAATATATATGACTGGGATAACTTTTTATTTAGACCGATTTCAGAAAAATTGACTGCGTTTTGTCATTGATCCGGAAAGATTTGGATTGCCAAGCGAGTATGTTTAGACTGGATTAAAGTCCGCACTCAAACTCGTTTCAAATCAAAGTGACACAAACTATTTGGCCTTTTTGCTCCGACTTTTGAGGAAAATGACGAAATCTTTGTGGTTGGGATGGTTTTTTTTCTCCTGACGAATTTCCACTTTTTATCTAGTGATTTTTGATGAGAATTACTTATATCAGCCGAAAAGTAATATTTTCCTGTTACATTTAAAACGATTTTTCATATGTGATTATTTTTGTAAAGTTAGGGGCGTTTGAAGCTTGCCATTGCCAATTTGGCCAATTTGGGATAATTAACAAGCGATATATTTTGTGCTATTACCGCGTTAGCCGTTAATAAAGTTGATCCTAAGAGTTAATTCATCTTAGCAATCGTTCTTACATTCTAAGAGTTATTCCGTATTACAAATCGTTCCAAATTGATTTGATGCATCTATTCAATACTTATCAAGTTTATTTCTTTGTACTTTATGTGGAGTGTGGATGGACAATTTGATCAAAAAAAAAATCTTTAAAGAAAGAATATTTAATTTTTTTTGAAAGTTCTATCAGTTTTTTTGAAAGTGAGGACTTCTCTATAGACTTTAGAAGGCAGTCGGACCAATCAGGGTTTCGACTTGATGCGAGAAATTTTTAAAATTCCATACACGATTCAAACTTGAACACTTAAAACTTGAGATTATCGCCCTAAATTGGTAGTTTGTTAATATTTCATTTTCCAAAAACTTTTCGAGACCAATCAATGGGCAGTCAGAACTTTCAGGGCTTTGCCTTGACACTAGCAGTCTGTTTTCTTATAGTCCACCCCTAAAGAAGCCGATATTCAGTATTTTTGCATATTATCCATTTTTTGTCGGTCAGGTCAGTCTTGAAATTTTATCATATCTACATTGGCGCCAGTATGCGCTAGTTTTTTTGGGATTTAGTGAGAGGTTGAGAAATAAGGGTCACAGGCGAACTTCCATGTTCAAAAGTTTACACTTGCGAGCTAGTGTCAAGTAATAGGGAACCAGATTACCCAGAAAAGGAAATTTCCTTTCATTCTTCTAAGTGGACATGGTACTAAGCTGGATCTTAAAACAAGTACAAGGTTTTTTAATAATTTATAATAAAATAATTTCTCTCAATTCACAAATATTTGAGTTATTGAATTGATTCTATATGCTGCAGGTAGCAAAAGTTTGCTGTATTTTGATGATATAACTCAGTGAATTGGATTGTTTTTTGTTCACGCATGTTTTCGCGCATTACAGAATCTTCACTTTATTTTATGATGAACAAGCTACTATCGTGCGTATTTAAGACAACCGGATAAAATGGAAAAAATAACAAATTGTGAACAAGTTTTTTTTTCAAATTCAGGTATACTTGGCCAAAAAAAGATAAATACAAAAATTGTTTACATCAATTGACCCTATTTACCTCTTCAATTTTGAAACAAATAAAATGATCCGTTTAAGCGTGTAATTTTGATTTGAAACTTTACAAGCATAAAAAAACGGTTGAAATTTTTTGCAATTTTTGTTCTCACTCTTTTTTAGCCCAGTTTAACTAATTTTGAAGAAAAAAACGAGTTGAAAAGTTTTTACTATATTTTTTTTAGTTTTATCCGGTTGTTTTAAATCCGCAAGATAGTAGCATGTTGGGCATAAAATGCAGTGAAAGTTCACTAACTTGCCAAAAAAAAAATACGCGTGAACAAAGAACATTGCAACTCAATGAATTATATCGCCAATTTTAGTTATAAAAGAATTAATTCAATAACCCAATTTTTGTGAACTTTCGTGACTTTCAAAAATTTAATCTCGGAAGAGGTAGGATTTGCTAAATTGATTATAATTGGTTCTAACCGTAAAAGTCTGTTGAAATCAAGTTAGCCGATCCTACAGTTTCTGTAATCAAAATTTGGAAAATCAGTGCTTTATTATCTTGGATGCAAGTTGTGTATCACCTGTTACGCACGCAGTATTAGATCACACTTCTTAAGAAGTTGTTCTGTTTCCCAGAAAGATATTTTAATTGATGTAGTTATCGCGGCAAGAATTAGATTTTTTTACAAAATTTTTTTAGCCTATTCAAATATTATTCGAAGTTTATTTTCAAATAATTTTTCTTACTACATGGGAAATCTCGCTGTTCGTTACGTTTTTAAAGTTTTCAAGGGACCTTTGCCAACTATTCTTAACTTCTTCAGTAGTTCAAAGCTCTGCTTCGCCTACGTGTTGCTTTTGATGCATTTCTGTGAAAAAAAAAGTCAAAAACCACGAAGAACTCAAATTGAAATAGGTGTCTCAACATCGCCAAAAGTGCAGACCACTGGAGCCCCGGATCCAAGTAGATTCAGTGGTGAGCACGAGGAGCCCCGGGTGCTAATGGAGGATAACTGGTCTGTTAGCGACTACAGCTCGCCTGGACCGGAAACTGCACCACGAATTTTAACCAGTGAGAAATTTCTTAAACGTTTCGTTTTGTCAAAAATCTGGCTGCAAAATATTTTTGCTGAGGTTTTGCTCGAATTTTTTGCTGGGTCCTGAATTGCTAGGCACCTTGTTTTGATTATTTTGTGTTACTTCTCCTAATTTTGCAAGCCTGTTTACATTGTTTGGCGGTTCCCTTAATTTCAGCTGCGCTATAGCTACCAAGTATCGTTTTCAAGAATCTTGCGAGCGTTTTCTCGCTGCAAATGCCTTTTTTATAGTAGTTTTCATTTTAAGTATGCAATTTTTTTTAAAGGTAACGACAAAAACCGCAGTCCGAGAGCGCTCCAAACTCCAAAACCAGACCTGACTCAGTCGCCAATCCTCGGCCTTGATCGACTCATAACTCATTTGCAATCCATGCCAAAAGTACCTGAAATAACTACTTCAAAAGAAGTCGCCTTCAAAAACAACCAGAAAATGTCACAGGCGCTAAATTCCATTCAATATGCAGACAAATTCAGAACGAATTCTTTGAGGTCAAAATATAATTCAAATTTTTCAAATGAAACAGCGAATACCAATAGCGATTATCAAGGTCGTGACTTCTCTTCAGCAGATTTTGTTCTGAGGAATAATGAAAAAGAAGGTTAGTCTTGAACAAAAAACGTTCATTTTATTCATTGGAGGCTAAAAGTTATCCAATTTAAACTTTTTTAGGCACGAGCTTACAGGCTGTACCGACTAATCAGGAAACGTATCAAAATTGGTAAATTAAATTGTCTTTTACTATAACAAGCATATTCAATTCTCGCTGCTTTATAAAAAGGACATTTTGAATGGTACACAAACTGACAATTCTGGGCACAATTTTTCTTTAAAAATTACATACCATTGTCTTCGCTGTGTAAAAGTTTCACGGAGGAAAACAGAAAGTTTGAAATGTGAGAAAAGAAAATGGAAAAAAGTCACTCCTTTTTAAGCTATGATGAAGTTCAATTCAAGATAAAATGCTGAAAAAATTCGAGTCAGGAAGACGTCTGACGTTAATTAGATGTCGTACAGGAAATTAAAAAGGGGCACAAATGATGTAGACGATTACGAAACTCTTGCTTAAAACTAGTGGGAAATTTGAAATTACTGGTAGATTAACTGGTAGATATATTTGTGTAGAAGAATGAATAAGTGATTGCCACTTAAATAGATCGTGAAGACTTTTTTCAGGTAAAAGTCGTAAAAATTTTTCATGCTCAAATTGATTTTTAATTTTCTAATAGTCATTTCAATTCCTTTGTTACAAAACAAGGCAAACTCCACCGTGGAACATCAAAAGAGTGAAGGTCACGAAAAACGTGAAGGACCTCTAGTTTCAAAAATGTTTTTCATTTTTATGAGATCTCACCGGATTGAAAAATTACTATTCGATACAGTGTTCTAGAAATCTAACTAAATAAAAAAGTACCCACTGATTCATTTTTTAAATGTGTTATTTTGTGTTATTTTTATCAAAAAAATTCAATCATAAACTGATATTGAAAAATAAAGATTCAACTTGAAATAGTTTTTGCTTCGAAATTCGATGGTTGAAAAATCTTTTCTATCTACTTTTTCGGGTTTTCTTTTCCAACCTTCTGACCATCTGTAGGCTGTTTTTTTTTGTTTCCTTGAGCTCTTTGACATTTTATTAATCGTCTGTCTGGCATGTTTTTTTTCTTTTTCAAAAGGATACTTTTGACAAGCAATCATTTGGCTTTGGTAAATTTTTTGTCTTCAGTTTAAGAATTCCAAACTATCTTGCTGAACAAGGAAATCATTCGAACTATACAAAGTGCATCTATCAAAAAATTGTTAGAAATGTTTTTCTGATACAAAAAAAATTGTTGGGTTTCCAGTTTTCGAAAAGAACTGTTGTCGATTATGTCTAAGTTTTTTCTGGATGTGGTAAGAAGGTTCTGTGGTACTGGCACAGCAACCGACTATCTTTGTTTCAATTAGATATCGTCCCATGAAATGAAAACAGCAGGGATTGCGCAGAGTATTGAGGATTTTCTGTTAAATAGGATCTTTTGGTTTAGTCGAAAATTTTGTCGTTAATCTTGCAAGATTCGAGTTTCGGATTATCTTCAAAACCATGGAAAATATGCAAACCCAGAGTCAAAAAGCTTGGCGCTAAAATATATTCCAAAACACCTGTCAAGACAAGGTCGAGATCAAGGTAAAGAGATAAAAGCCAGGCAAAGGTGAAACTTTTTTAGACAAGAATTAACGCTTTTTCATTCGAAACGTATTGTTAACCTGAGCTCAAATTCAGCAAGATATTTCACCTGTGATCGTTTTTCCGTAAACACTTGGGGATTCGAAGATTGCCAATATACAACAATTAACGCGCGTTATTTTTCGTGCTAATGACGTGTAAGAGGAGATTTAATCCGTGTCAGAAATCGTTTCACATTGAATTGATGCACGCTATGGGATGTATGTAGTAGTTTGCTATAAAATTTCAATTGTTATAAACGTTATAAAAGTTAACACTACTCCATCGACTGTAAAAGGCAGTCGGAACAGTCAAGGTTTTGCCCTGAGAAGAGCAATCTTGTTCAATTTAATTTTCATTAAACGAATTATCAGCAGCGCAGATAGCACAATGGAACAAAAAGTAACTGCCGAACAAAATATATTTCTTTCATTAAAACAATGAATCACATGATCCCCTGTAATTTAGGATTTTTTCTTGTCACTGAGTCTAAAGGTAAAAGTTAGAGCCCCGAGATATTGTATCCACGGGTCGGTTTAGGGTTTTCTCAAAAAGGTAACTGATTTTCATTTTCACCTTTTTTTCCTGGTCTACTAAACTGATTTTTTGAGCGCTCCCGGACACTAAGAAAACCCGAATTTGACATTTTGTGAGCCACCGGAAAGTTTTTTTTCAAAAAATCCGTTGTTGGTCACATTTTGGAAACTTTAAACTGAAAAATTGTCGGCGCGCGCTACCCTTCAAAATAAGTAAATATTGGCGCCAATTGTGGTTTTAGAAAAATTTCAGCGTTGATCGGCCAAAAATGGATGCCATGGTTGAAGTTCCACCTTCAATTATTGTTTTTCTGTATTTTTCCAGAGATCGCTATTTTCAGCGCTAATTCATGTCTTATTCATTTTTTTTTGCATAGTTATACCTGCGATATTTTAGAACTAATTCTGTAATTATTCTGTGGAAAATCAGCGCTAAAACATAAAAAGTTTTAACTCATTCTAGTATTTTTTAAATAAGAGTGTGAGTTACAAAAACCTTAACTTGTAAATCTAAGGCTACATGGCGCAGATGTAGCATAAATGTCTAATAGGTTGATGGTTGTTAGAACTCCAGTAGTTCATATTATTTGCTCATTTTGATAGGTTTTTTATTGCTGTTTCATCGCTGAGAAATAGTCAAATCAGCAATAATTTATTGATAAAATTTGCTGTTGATGCAATGAAAATCGATAATCATCAATGGTGATTGCTGTTTTTTTCACTGCTTTATCGCTAACTTTCAATGTGAACTCTCTCCGGGTGTCTTAAAATAATACCACAGGGGGACTCTTCGGTTGGTGAGGCGGTCGTATCCCTGAGGGGGGGGGGGGGTTTGGGCTTGAATCCATCATCTCGATGAAATTTTGTTTGCATATACTTTGTTTGCTTGAGGATACCCAAAAGGACCTAAATCAGGGGCATTTCGAGGTTTGCTGTTTTTTGCAACAAATCTTCTTTTTCTACCCGTTCTGACATTTGAATCAAAACAAGCTCTGTCAAGAAAGCAGCTTGCCTTAAACGAGTAAAAGTGTGTTTATGAACCCTGAGGGCTGCCGTTTGATAATGCTCGGACGCAATTTTTGCGAACAGATTGTCCTTTCAGGTCATGGACAGTGCTTGAGATCAAATTACTACCCGAACCATCACTTTTGTCGAGACATTTTCTTCCTCATAAACTTCGCATCAACACGGGTGTCAATGACTCTTTCATTGTAGAAACCTGATATCTCGGGCATATTTTCGAAACTCAATCGGAAACACTTTCGTTGTCCATGATAACTTCGACTTACGATCCTGCTGCTATGAATCATTGCTGAAGCCCACAACGTCGAAGTTTCAGCTTGATTATCTGCTGTATAATTGACTTTGGATCTTCTCCGCGTTTTTACTTGCTTTTTAGTTTCGGTTGTTTGCAATAAATGGTTGATTGGCGTACATTGAATTTTTTGGCTTTTTTACTGAGAAGCTTCTGTTTTATTCCTCGGAAAAGTTTCGAAATTTCTGCGCTCTGCTCATATCTCTTTGTTGTTCTTCGTCGATCGGTGCACTCGCTTTTGTTTTCAACCATTTTTTTTGGCTGACGACAAAGCGTTTGCTTCCCTTTGCTTTGTGTTGGTGATATAATCTGTCAATTACTGTTCAGACATTTTTTCATCAAAACTCCTTAGGATTGGTGTTTAATCTAAATTGCACGATCTTTTGGTGTCACGATAATATGCCAGGTTTAGTTCGAGTCAGACTTTGAAACGTCGCCAAAGGAATTAGTCGCGGAGAAAAAGCTTGAAGAATTGTGTCAATTTCAGCACCTCCCACCTAGCTTGAAAAAAAATTTGTGCTGCTGTTAAATAGTGCCTATTTGCACCAGCGGATATAGGGGGCGGAAGCCCCCCCCTCTCAGGGATTCGACCTCCTGTCGACCCAAAGGGTTCCCCTTTGTACTATTTTGATATATTCCTTTTTTGGTGACTGACCTTAAAACTATTCTAAAGGCGCCTTTGGCGCCAATATTCTAACTTTGAGGGGCGAGCGCGCGCCAAAAAAACGCAATTTTTTGGTAACCATTTTGCAAAAAATGCTTGAAGACGCCTTTTTTGGCCTGTTTTTTTTTCAAATTTTTGCCTGCGGCGCAGAAAATCTGGTCAAAATGCGGTATTTTAATGATTTATGAGAGCTCAGAAAATCAATTTGGTCGACCGACCTAAAAAAAAAGGTCGAACAAATTTTTCGAAGTTTTTTGAAAATCCGCCCCCTCCCCCGAGAAAATCCTAGATCCGTCCCTGCTTATGTGTAAGATTCTTGTGTGTAGTTGCTAATGTGTTAGACTGCTTCTATACAGTAGCAGATCTACGATTTTCATGAGAGGGAAAGGGTAGACCAAATTGATTTTCCGAGCGCTCCCAGAACTGTCTTCTTGGCAAAAAATTTTGCGCCGGGGGCAATTTTTTGAAAAAACAGATCAAAAATTCCGTTTGTGGCCCCCTTTTTGTAAAATGTTGACCAAAAAAGTCGGCTTGCTCTCCCCTTTAAAATAAGCACATATTGTAGCTGAAGGTACATTTAAAAAAACTTTTAGGGTTGGTCGGTCAAAACTGGATGTCTTAACATAAATAATATCAAAGGGGGACCCTTTAGTTTGTGAGGGGTTCGAATCCCTGAGGCGGGAGGGGCGTCCGCCCCGCCTGTAAAATCCGCTCCTGCTTATCTGTAATATAGATGGCGATTATTTAGGGAACCAAATCGGAACAAACGACAGGAAACAAAGCTACAGAATGGAAAAGTTGTAAGTAGTTATAAACGACATGTTGCTGTTTTCTGAAGATATTCCCCGGTTAATAATCCGTTTAGAAGTTGATAATTCAAAATTGGTTAATAAGCTACCAAAAAAGTGGCTGTTCGCCACCAATGATTATTCATCTTCAATAATGTTTTTTTTACTAAATTGGGTACGATTAAAAAATTTCGAGCAAGTTGTATGAAAAATATCTAAATCGGAATTTCTTTAATTTTAGAACGACAGTAACCAATTTGCTCCAGAAACCCAACAGAACCATTCTTCCTCGAGGTATGTTGCCCAATGAACAAATTTGTCAAAATCAAACATCAGTTTTATGTTGTTCTTCTTGAACAGACAAGAAACTGTTCAAAAATTAAAAAAGTTTTAAAGAAGAATTTCTGACGTCTTTTCCTATTGATTAAAACAGTATGCGTTATTCCAGCCTAAAACACAAACACTAAACATTCTGATTTGATTATAACCTTAAAATCTAACACAAACTAAATTTTACAGAATTCCTGAACCCCTTTTACAGCTTTCATTTAGAAGCCATGGTGGTGACGAGAGCGGATACCTTCAGAGACTGAATGAAGACGGATCCCAAGATATCGAGATCTTCAGGCCTGGCAAGGGGGAGTCGTTCGGATTCTACGTCTTCCGGGAGCCCACTCCTGCGATTCAAACAAACAGGGACAGAGGCGATGGCTTCAGCGACATCGAAAGAAGTGGGCAGAAAATTTAAGCTCTTTTCAAGATGATGGCTCAAAATTTTCAGTTTCTCCCCAAAACTTAAATTTTTATTTTAGGAGTGTTATATGACGTAAAATATCTTTTATTATAATATGTAGAGCACGATTCTTTTTTGACGCCAGATACTACTTTTACGACAGGATGATTATGAGATCTTGGTCAAAATGTCTGGGATTTGAAAACTTGCTGGATGTTGAAAATGGCGGAGAATCTATGCTACCACTATGATGAATCCATGTTACTAACAATTCTGAACCGCACTCAAATTTTTGAAAAAAAAACAAGCCAAAAAATAGCGTTTTTTTGCGCGCTCTTTCACTCGAAAGTTAGCTTATATGTGTGCCAATGGCGCCTTCAGACAATTTTAGGGTTCGTTGAGCAACATAAGTACCAAAGGGGGCCTTTTGACGGCCAGTTGGCCAAATCATCCATCCCCCATATCCGCTAATGTACACGCTAGTTCTCACAGTATATTTTGCAAAATCAAAAAAATTTCAAAAATGAAAAACAACAAATGAAATTATGCTGTTTGAGTAAACGAAGTCTAGAGCACTGTGGCGCTCTGGTAGTGATGTTGCGCAGCAAAGTTATGATTGCGGGTTCAAATCGCACGTGCGCTGCAATTTGCATGGTGAGCTCTTGAAAGTGAGTCATAGCGTAATGGGCGCTGATTATGCGTAATGGGCGCTCTTGTCCGCCTACATAATTAACGTCCGGGTCAGGCCTCCGGCTGGTTGAATTTAAAGTTTTTGGCTTTAACTTCGTATAACTTTCAGGAAGAAGCGGTCTGTTTGTGTCCAGACTGAAAGACAACAGGTTCCAGGGACTCCTCAATGTGGGCGATGAAGTAGTAAGTGTGAATGGACACTCTGTCAGAGACTTGACACTAGATGAGGTGGAAGACATGATCATGGCCAGTGCACACTCTGTCACTATGACCACAATTCCATATTTGGTGTCCATACAAAACAACTCATGAGTTCAGTTCTATTAATTATTTGTTTCTGTTAATTTTTCTATGAAATTAAAATTGTACAAGTTTATTTTTATATCTGAGGCTCACACGCATTTCAAGTGTATTTTGTTAGTTAATCAAGATCATTTTTTTGTTCACGTTTTAAAAATAAGTTTTGGTTCTATCCAGTTTTGTCAGTGATCGGAATTACAGAGGGAGCAATCTTAATAATTTATACTTATACCACTTGATTCAATACTACTGATATTGTCTTGGTCTAAAGATGGCCCAAAGCGCATTCTCTTTTTTGCTATTTGACGAATTGACCTTGTTAGCAGAAGTCTTGTTGAGAAGGAAAGACGGAGAAGGTTTGAATATTGAACCCGATATTTTTTCAAAAAATTTCTTGAAAAGAATCGAAAAAAAAACAAATAATTCAAAAACTCATTAGCCATAAACTGAGCTTTATCAGACGGTCTACGAGATTGACGCCCATGAGATACCAGTTCAACTGGAGCTGAAGTTTCTTGGACTAGTTTCTCAAACTCATGTTTATCACAGAGAGTCAGCAAAGGCAAGTGACAATTAAACCCCAAAAAAGACAAAGATGCATAGACCCCATGTTAATTTTGAGGGAGGCACAAAAACGCGACTTTTTGGTCAAAATTTCCAAAACTGGTTGTAACTGTTGTTTTCATAAAAATTTAAACCATTTGGTACGTTTTATAGGCAGTTAGTCAATTTTAGAACTTTTAATGGCACGTAACAAAACTTTTCGATTTTTTCTCCGTAATTTGAAACGTAGGAGAAAAATAACTATAAAAAATCGATGTAATTGTTTTTGAAATTGATTTGAATTGATTTTTTTAGCTCAAATTAAAATTTAAATTGATTTAAAATTGGTTGGGAACGGTCTTTTTTAGCGTTGATTTTAGATCAACTTAAATCGAATTAAAGTTGATTCTAATCAATTTGAATTTTTCTTTTTAATCGAGGTCATTACGAGGTCAAACTTTACACTGGATACGCGCACAATTTGATAATTGTAAGTCTCTGGAATCCTTTAAAAATGTTGAAATTGAATGAACGATGAAAAAAACGAAAGAAAAAAGGATCAAAGAGAGCATCCTTGTGGCGAAATCTGTTTGTAAGTCACAAATTACACAACTTGGCTATGTAATGGTACTTTTTCAAAACTTAAATTTATCTCAATTTGATCTGCTTATTTTTTCATGCTAAAATTGATCTCAGGGCTCTTTTTTCTACTTCACTTCCACATTTCAAATGTATGATTTTGTAGTGTTTTTACTTTCTGAATAAGCTAAACGAGTGATGCTTACGATAGAAAGTATGAAATTTTTCTGCAACAGTTAGTTTTGTAGAATGCCGAATTTCATTGCTTTTTTCACTACGGTAAAACTGTTTTTTTTTCTTCAAATTTTGGGGAGGCGAGTAGAAATGAGCCTAAAAATGTTCACAGTAGTTACGTTGCTCCAGATGCAGAAATTCAGTGCCCTACGATAAAGCTACAATAGATTTTTTGATCTGAAATTAAATTAAGAATCACATTTTCACACTGACATGTTTTTTTGCAGCTAGAAAGGTAGAAAATCTAAAGTAATTAATATCAGGAAAAACCAAGAGGAAAACCGGAAAAGATCCATTGAACTAATGTTTTAATGTCAATTGGGTTCAAACCAATCAAATTTTAGCTTTGCTTGCCGCGGCTAATCTTGATATGCCAAAAATACTAATCATAAATTTCTCATACTATTGTAATTGCTGGACAAGCACTTTTGGGCAGAGTGAAAATTACGATCTACTTTTTTTTAAAAAACCCGAAAATTGTTCATAATCAATCAGTTCTTTACTCAAGCAAATTTTTTCCAATAAAAAAGAAAATTTTGGTATAAGTTCCTCCCCAAAACCTATTTTTAACGTTGTCACAAAAAATCAAAAAATATGCAATGTGGTCAAACTAACTATTTACGCTTGCGATTAGCATGCGTTATAAAATTTGAATCTAGACTCTCTATTTAGGCCTTTTTTGGGTTAACAACTTTTTTAACAGCATCACTTGAATCACTTGTATCTTGGTTCATAATGAATTCAAATTTCTATGAATTCGCCGCCAATTTAGCCTGGAGGTAACGAATATGCCTGGGACGGCAAAGGTACTGGGACCTGTCCAGGACCTGTTTTTTCCAGGACTTGTTTTCTGACCAGGACCTTTTTTTCCAAACGGGAAATATTCTGTTTCAAATAAAATTGTCGGCCAATTATTTGTCTGCTCATCTGTTGTCGGCTTAGTTGTCATATCTCGAAATTGCTTTTTTTGCTGCCCGCATTTTTGTGCAGTATTGTTTTTAGTAGTTGATGTACTCCTACATTTTGTAATTTTACTTACCTTGACTTCGTATTTCTTTCTTTGTCTTTTTTTGTTTCGGTTTGATGAAAAGTCCTCGGCCAAATTATTTCGGCCTTTTTTTATCGGCGTAGTGACCTGATTTTGGGTTGTTTCAAGAAAAACACAAGTTAACCCTTCCCTTCTCCCTATTCATGTTTGTTGTATGTTTACCAATCGGTTTGTTCAATTTTTTTTTTCTTTATGGAAAAATATCTCCAATTTAATTGGAAAAATTTTAGTTTTTCCTAGAAACTTCCACCGAGTTTCAAAAAAGTGTATCTATTGAAAGACCATCTACTCGCTTGTGTCTTTGAACATTCCCCTAGAGTCTGTTTTCACACGAGCCTTCGAAAAAGTCTGTGGGAGAAGATTTGAGCCATATTTTTGATTTTTTTTCGTTTTTCAAAAAATACTACTTTTCTCAAATCCGAGTTTTTGGTTTCAATGAATAGAACGGTTTCGCAAGCTTCCTACACGAGCGTTTCAGCTCACATTATTTGTACACATAAAGATAAGGCCCTCGGAATACTCAAAGTTTTGATTACTCTGCCATATTTGAGATTTTGGGTTCATTTCAAAGAGCAGGTTGGAGGAAGCTCAGTTTTTTACATGCCACTACTCCTAAATTTTTCTGACATCAAAAAATATGGCCCTCGTAAAAGTCATAATTTTGATTTTTTAATGATTTTTTGAAAATTTTTAACGTTTTTTGATAACTTCTTTTCGAATCTGAGATTTGGGGTTCAATCGAAATCACAGGTTGAGTAAATCATTTCTGCATAAGCGGCTACGCGCTATTTTTTCTCACAAAAATATATTTTGCGCTTTTTTTGCCAATCATCCTGCCTAATCTGATCTCATAGGTCTAAAATAAACAACAAGTTGTTGAAAGCTTAACTTTATAACTGATTATGCCCAGTTAGTTTAAGAAAACTTTAAGTAACTTTGACAGTTTTGGAACTTTTTTGACTTTGAGCGGAAACTAGCCTGCCAATTCTCAGGTTTTCTTCAATCGAGAAACTCGGTTTTAAGACTTTTTTTTCTCCTTGAGAGGCCACAACCTGCTCATTGCAGAAACAATTCATGGAAGTTGGAATTCTTTTGACTGTTTTTCGAAAAACTTTGGCCGATTTTTAGAAACTTTTTGATTTTTATTAAAATTTACTCAATCAAATCTGAGCTGAAAAGTTCAACTGAAAGAACCGGTTGTGATAATCTTTCCTGCAGATGCGCCGGCTCCTTAGTTTCTTGGTAAGAGAAATGTTATTGATTATCTCAAATTGTTTCACTCTTCTCACTAACTTTATTTGAGAAACAACTAAGGTTTTGGGCAAAGTCCATTTTTTTTAAATCACATATTTCGTGCCGCATTAGTATAGAAAATTCATTCAATGTCAAAAAATACCTCCAAATTTATCTGGTTTCCTAGTTGTTTTTAATCTAGACATCTACATCTAATTTTTTTTCAACATCTAATTTTTTTTCGACTCATGTTTTTTTAATGTTTCTGTTGTATCGCAAGTGGTCCGCTTCGCCTCTGTGTTGAAATATTCTTTTTTTTGTAATTTACATCTTCACATCACGAATATGGCCATAATAACATGTTAATTAACATAAAAAAAATAGAACACTTGTTAGTTCAAAGCGAAAAGAAAAAAATCCGATTTTGTTTTGTGCATAACGTGGTACAGTGACCCTAAACTTTACGACAAAAAACAATTGCGCATAAATTTATGTCGGTAAAGAAAACTACCCTAGTACTTTTCAGTGCCACGGGAAGGTCACAAATTGATGCTTCTATGAGCGGCTGGACCCCTGTAAATTACTGCCCTCATTTAAGTTCAGAAAACCTCGTAAGTCAGACAAAACTGAAGCGCTTAGCTCAGTACTGACAAAATATGAAAGCACTGCTGTATGTATGAACGTATGAATGACACACTGCAGGGGCTATAATTTTTGTTACTAGGCTGTTGGGGCTATAATGGGAAATATCCTCAAAAAACGATACTTATTGTGTTCGAACTTCTTACTTAGTGCCATGGGGAATTTTATAGAGATCCAACGTCTGATGGTGGGTTTGTTTGGTTTTTTCGCATCCTACCAACAAACAATTTTAGCCCTCAGAAAGCGTTTTTCTTTCTGTTCGGGGATCTTTATTTCATTGGGGGGGATTTATAATGGAAATTTTTTTGGAAGTTATTTAATGTACGTGGGGATTTATATTGTTGAAGACTCGTTAATATAATGTTGTGCTATTAGAAAAAAGAGAACAGGAACTTGCAAAGACCAGGGGGTAAACCTACCCGTACCGAAGTTTCTCGGATAAAAATAGATTATTTTGAGAAAATGTTGCCGAAAAGGTTGCCATTATAATCGATTATGTGTAACCAATTTAAGCAACATTTTCTATTATAATAGAAAGGAAATAGATTATTTTCATGAAGATTATATTGCTTTATAATTCCACTAAACTGTTCTTTTATCTCCCTATAATCTCAACAAAATCTGTTTTTTCGCCCTGAAATTGCCATGAAATCGCAAAGAAATCGATTGCTTTCGCCATAAAATTGCAATAAAATCTATCGTTTTTGCCATAAAATCGCAATAAAATCAATTG